GCGCGCGCACGCACACGCACACACACACACACGCACACACACACACACACACACACACACCTTGACGTGGCCGATAAATTTTTAAATGTCATCATCTTTTCTCGCACTTAGCGTGTGAATATTTAAATGGCGGTCTGCAAACGGCGGTGGGTTAATCACAGAGATCGATCGGTAAACGAATGCGGTTCAAAGTGGGACGCTCGCTTCGGTGAAAACGCGCCCTTGGAAATTGGAGCTCTATAACGAGACCTCGAACGACAAAGTCGCCTTTCGCGTCGTCGCCAGCCCCGTGTATAATTAATTGGTACCAGGCCTGTCTAATTACACTGCGACGACGTCGTCGTCGTCGTCGTCGCAATTGGCAATTCGCGGTTAATCCCCAACTCCGTCGCGGCAGCACACAATATCTCGCAGCCGCCGCTGTTTCTTGCTTAAGAACTCGTCGCGTTGTTCGCGGCAATCCCCGGGCTACTTTCTGCTAAATGAGCGTATTTGCGCCAAACGTGCGCGTCGCATTCCTCATTGTTCTAAATGTACACCGACCAGACCGTCGCTCGCGCATTATTTGGTCGCGAGCCGGAGGAAAACGTAATCGTTCGACGTAAAGATATCACAGTAAAAAGTTCATCTCGGGGGGACAAAAATCCATTACGTTTAATCATCGGGATGTATTTGCAATTATAATTCTGGATTATTTACTCAAGTCTCTCGCGTTGCTCTCGATGGAAGATATTACGACGTTCTGCCCTACTCTCTCTCTCTCCCTTGATAAATAGTAGACGAGAGAGCCTGCACCTAGATATATACACGGCACGTGAAAACTCGGAGAGAGAAATGAACCGTGTCCTGAATGTAAATCTGTCGGCTCGCGCGGCAATGCGGCTGTTGAAAAATTTATCCTTGCAATTAAATCGCATTGGTCGTTGATACGCACTGCTGATTACACTGCCGACGTGACTTGCGCCTTCGAGTCATTTCCGCAACGATTACAAGGGGGTTTCGTTTACCGAGATCGTTTCCTCGGATATATATATATATATATAGAGCACGTAAGTGTTTAATTTTCATATAAGATGGGCTTAACTGGGTTTATACGGCGTACTGGTCACAGTTACTGTTTTCTGGTAGCAATTAGGAGAAAAGAAAGAAAAGTCATTACCAAGAATGAGATAAAAAGGGTTGCAACACTACCGCAGAGAGATGTAGCAGCACGAGAATGCCTTAGCGAGTGTGTTGTCGCACGGTGCAGAATGAAAGAATTAAAGGATAAATCAACGATACATCTGATAATATATGTACATGTGTGTAGGCAGGTGTCTTCTATTTTATATATATATATATATAT